AAAGTAAAAGGTAGGGAAAGGAAGGGAAAGACAGAGAAACCTATACAAGGTTTGTAAGGGTTTCCTTACCTTTCCCTTCCTTTCCCTACCTTTTCCTTCGAACCAAACATAGCCTAAATGAGGGAAAGACAGAGAAACCTATACAAGGTTTGTAAAGGTTTCCTTACCTTTCCTTTCCTTTCCCTACCTTTTCCTTCAAACCAAACATAGCCTTAATGTGAATATTAAATGATCCGATTTTTAAAATTCCTTTGATGTGCCAACTTTTTTAAGTGATAATTGCATACACTTTATAGACATTAGGTGGGTGTGTTTATTGGGTTTTGTGTAATAGGTGGATGTTGTTTTTACAAAAAGTCCTTAAGGGGTATTAGGCATACTAATAATTAGTTTTAGTATAAGGATAATTTATTACTCCCATATAATCAAATCAAGTATTATTAATAGGTTACATTTATTAACTACATTGTTAATAAAAGCATAATATGATAATTATTTTATTTATAAAAAAGTATATAATTAATTAAACTTAATAACTTAATTAATCTTAACTAATCCATAATATAACATGAATTACCAAAACCTTCTATTAAAATTAAAATTAAAAAAATGTGTCAATTTTAAAATTAATATTTATTAATTTAAAATTCACTTAATTATGGGAGTGATCATTTTCACTTTTCACCTGTATTAGCACAACAAACTGCAAGGCTGGGCTTGGGCCCAACATTTCAAGCCTGGCCCAAGCCCCTGCATGGCTCACACATATTTATATTATTTATACATACTTATAGCACATACAATATAAGATATTTTATATTATAAAATGCATAAAATAATTTTTATATACATATTATATGACATATAATATGAAATATTATAATATTATATGTATTCAATATTTTATACATAATTCAAAGGCTTGAATTTAAGCCTGGCCCTATTCAGGCATAGGCTATGGCCTTAATTATGATTGCTAAGCTTAGGTCAGGCCCAGTATGGGCTTATGTTTTTGGCCTAGAACCCAGGTCAGGCCTAAGCTTGGGCCAAGGCCTTATCACTTGTGCTAAGCCCAGCTTGGGACCAACTTGGCTCCACCCATGATCATCGCTATTAGGGGTGTCAATCAACAGGTTTTGGATTGGATCCAATCTGATCCAAACCTTATCAAATCAGATTTAGATGGTCCATTATAATTATTGGATTGGTCCAATCCAAAATAAATTGGTCCATATTCTTATTGGTCTGAATTGGATCTAAACCAAATTTCCAATAATTTGATCATGAGGTCAAACCCTTGTCCAATTTGAAAGCAATCAAAGTTGAAGCCAGCATAAAATCACTTTTATGAAAGCACTTTTACGAAAGTAATTTTATGAAAAGTAATTTTAAGAAAGCACTTTTACAAAAAAACTTTTACAAAAGTACTTTAACTAAAGCACTTTTACAAAATAACTTTTACGGAAGTACTTTTATAAAAACACTTTTACAGAAGAACTTTTATGAAAGTACTTTTACAAAAGCACTTTTATGGAAGTACTTTTATAAAAGCACTCTTACGAAAGCACTTTTATGAAAGTACTTTTACAAAAGCACTTTTATGAAAGAACTACGAAAGCACTTTTATGAAAGTATTTTTACGAAAGCATTTTTACAAAAGCACTTTTACGAAAGCACCTCTACGAAAAAACTTTTATAAAAGTACTTTTACAAAAGCACTTATACAAAAATACTTTTATAAAAACACTTTCAAAGTACTTTTTACGAAAGCACTTTCATTAAAGTGCTTTTACAAAAGCACTTTTATGAAAGTACTTTTATCAAAATACTTTTATGAAAGCACTTTTACAAAAGTGTTTTTCAATTCCAAAAGAGTATATTTTTGTAATTTTCAGATTTTTTTCATTTTAATATATTTTTATAATTTTTATATGTTCTGTTTTTTATATAATTTTTTATTTCATTGGGTTTGGAATTTTGGATTGGATCCAATCCAGCCCATTTACATTTTAATGGATTGGATTGGGTTTGGTATGTATTGGACTTGGACTGGATTGGGTCCAATCCAGTTGTAAGTAGATTCACATTAGACTAGATCAGGTTGGACCAAATCCAATCAAATTGACACCTTTAATCGCTACTTAGCTTCCATCTATTTTAATCCTAATTAATACAAATTTATGAATAAAATAAACAAAAAATAATAAGAAACTATTAATTTTGAAATTAATTTTTATAATTTAATATCCAGAAAATTTTTAATTTTAAATGATCAAAAAATAATAATTTTAACAATAATTTATCCCACAATATATGATCAAAACATAATCTTTGGATTGGAGTTTATCTCACTTTACCCAATTGAGAATGGTGCAAGGCTCCTTTTGACACAACTATTTTTAACAAAGACCATGCATCACACGAGTCCTGACTAATCTTTGATTAAAACAAGAAACTAGAAACGTTGTAGACTATAGGAAGTGTCTCAGTTGTTCATGTCATATTTCATAAAAACAAACAGAGAATTAGAGACTCAAAGAGCCAAAGATTATTATTATTAAACGTGAATGCGCAAGAGAAAAAATAGAAGCTGAAAACTCACATGTAATAATAATCTTCATGGTTTTAAAATACGATCTGGAAATAGAACCGTTCTGACCACCAGTTTCTGGGTCGATTGTCCGATCGTCCGGTTTAAACGGACAGCCTGTTTTGGCAAAAAATTAAAAAATAATAATTAAAAATAAAAAATGGCCAAAACAGTTGAACGGGTTGACGGGTCGACAATTCAACTGTCTGGGTCAATGGATCGTTGACTGATTCAACAGTTTTTTACCAGAGACCTGGTTTGGGGTAAAATGGAACCGGTTGCCTAGACAGTTTCCAGGCCAAATGGTCCAACCGTCCAGATCAACGGCAGTCCAAAAACCATTATAATCTTGATGTTTTTTAAGACAAATTTTGTTTTTTTGCATAATTTTTTAAACATCACAGATCTTATCAATTTAGGCATGAATAAATTTTTTTTGAAGGCAGGGTTCAAGATTGAAACATGGGCTGGTGCCCACTCAATCAAATTAAACACATCAGTAGATCTGGAGTCCCAATTAGATGTGGTTGGTGAGCAAGTGGGAGAGTGCAAGATCAAAATATCTAGTGCACTGATAACGCAGCAGCAACAGTGATGGACCGATGGTGAAGGTGATATCTCGACGACAATAGTATCACGGTAGTGGTAAATGCAATACAATGATGACACCACCTCTCGAATGGGAAATTAGATTTGATCCTTACCAAGGTTCAATGTATCGATACGTATCGGCCCGTATCGTTCTGGCACCCCACCGATACAACCCTACAGTGGGTGTATCGGTGGTTTGACTGGTTCAGAGTGTGGCAAATACCTAAACCGTCTCCTCTGAACTAGTTGGCGAAAAAAATAAAAAAATAAAAAAAATAAACCACTAAAAGGAGTATCAATTTGCCCGATATGCCCATACCGACGTATCGATATTTTGAACCTTGATCCTTACAAAACCATCCTCACACTGTCCTCACAGCCCCTTATAGTCATATATTGGGGATATCTCCTATGAATAAAAAGATACAAATAAAGAGATATTCATGCACAACTGAAAAAGACTGTGAGAACGATGTGAAGACAGTTTTGTGAGGACTGAACCCACCCTCAATGCGAATCTGTTTTGGGCTTTTAGTATCTTCGAGAAGGTTAAAACCAACATTTAGTGCTGGCTAGCTGCGTTGGATTCAATACATTTAATTATTCAAATGGTATAGGGGATTGTGACATAGGGAAATATGGGAATTGGGAAAGGGTAGGGAGGAATTGCGAATTAGTTGTGGGTTATTTATATAAATATTAAAATTATTAATAATATATACTTTACTGTTTGGTTTTTGGTTTGGTTCGGTTCCTTAAAAAGATTTGTCAAATTGAACCAAAAACCGAATTACTTCGAAGTTACAAACCGAACCTAACTGAAAACCATACAAGCCAAACCAATTTTGCTTATTTTGTCGGTTCGGTTTGGCAACCAAATTTGAACACCCCTTAACCCCGATTCAAGCTTCAACCCTAGAACAATGGAATCTGTTATCTCAATCCAAACTGAACTGAACTCAATGTAACATGAATGTATAGACACTGGATTGGGTTTAGGTTGGCCCCGACTTTAGCTTTTTTTATTTCTAGAAAAATCGGTTTCTAGCCTTCAATTCCCTTAGCCTTTGAAACTAAAATAATGTATATGATCTATGTAAATATACACAGGTTCAGGATGAATCAGCTTGCCCGAGGCCTTAACCCGAAGTTTAGCTTTAGAGTAGACCCGAACCTGACCCAATAAGAAAGCACACAAAACCAGATTGGATCCTACAATGTTACAAGTTATAGAGTAATAGACCCAGAAGGACTCCGGATCTTCTGCCCACGAGAACTCTGTCCACACCTACCCATAATACATTACCCCCCGTGAATTGGGAACATCTCCCCCTGCATAATACTATGCAGAAGGATGAGATGTTCTCCGTGTGTGGCTGCGATAAACATGGGCAGAGTTCTCGTGGGCAGGAGATCCGGGCTCACCCAAAAAGGGTTAAAAGTGATAGGACATAGGTCAAAGTAGTAAGAAATAATTTAAGCACTAATAATTTATCAATATTGCATTAAACAAAATAAAAGAAAAGGCAAGATTCATGTAGACCTATTGCATTAAACAAAATAAGGTTTGGAGGACAATGACGATGATGAAGTAAACCTATTGTTAATTGGGCTTATTGGGTCAAACCTCATAAAGCCCATTTCTAACTAAGTTTCTTTAGCCTAGTAATTAGACAATATTGTCTAAACCATGAATAGCAAATTGAAGAGAGAGAGAGAGAGAGAGAGAGGATGTAATCAAACTAGAAACTCAGCAATCAAACATAAGTTAATGTTTATGTGTATGGGCCACACAACCATCCAGTGGTCTAGCCTCAGTCCACATTTAGGTGGTCAGAAACAAATTACCAGTCTCTCTCTCTCTCTCCCTCTCTCCAGTTTGTCTCATATCTTTATACCACAGTCTCCATCTCCCTCACTGACACATGCTCGCTCATTCCCACACACAAACGCAGATGTGGACAATAAAGAATCTCTCAAATTTGTGTCTGTGCCACACAATCCCTCATAAGAAAGAGTGTACATACGAGGAATAAACGAAGCTATCCACCAACCCTGTTTAATATTTATTCAAGCAACGCCAAAACAGTATTCTTATGCTATGTTTGGTGACCTGTCTGTCTTGATAGCCTATTGCCTTCTGGATTTTGAAGAATCACCATGAAGAAGACCCTTCAAAGAGCTCATCAAATGGGGAGCCCTCGCAGCGATTTCGATCTTGGTGAACATGATCTTGATCAAAGTATTGCAATTCCAGCCAAATTTGCCACCATTGCAGACAGCTTTGAAAAGAAAGAGCAATCATGGTAACTGCATAATATGCTTCTCCTTTGTGTTCTTTACTAGCTTTTGAATATCTATATAAAGAAAATGATTACCATATTGGTGGGTTCATGCAGGTTTGTAATTTCTCAAACCCCTACAGACCTTACAATTAAAGTAGCAGACATCACGTTTTATGCTCACAAGGTACATGAAAGGCATCTTTGAGCAAGCAGGTTTTAACTGTTGGTCCAATCTTTAGAATCCATTGATATTTGATGGTAGAGGCTCATGGTCATGGTTATCACCATTCAGGACTGGGAAATGAACGTATAGCCCAGAATGAGGCCTATTAGACTGTTTTATTGGCCATCACAATTCATAAGAAAATGCTGTGCCAGCAGCTGTGAGCTCCATAAATGTTGGAAGCCCATAACAAGCATGAATACCCATACAATTAAACAGCTGATGTGTTTGATATCATTGCTTATTTCATGAAATGTTCTAGGTTGATCAATACAAATTGATGAGAGATACACTGCACATGAGAGTCACTTCAGTTAGAATGATTTTAGTGTCATTTCTGTTTCTAATGACAAATCAATTTGACATTTCTACAAGCAGCTTCCCATACGTGTGCATTTTTAAGGGATACCTATTTCAACAATCAACAGCCTCAAATAAGTCATGCCAATTTGTATTGATAATCCCAAAACAATTCAGGTAGAAACAGCAATGGTACCAAAAACAACGTAAATAGGAACACGAAGTAGATCTTATTTCAGTACTTGGTTCACCCAATCTAATCAGGTGGATCAGTTTGATCTGTTAGGTTTCTAAAAGCAGGTTTCAGTCTGGTCGAAAATGTTTCCCATCAGCCAACCTTAGGAGCTGTTTGATAATTTCAGTGGCTGAACAACCTGAACTGAATAAATGTATGTCATTTTAAGCTTCTCAATGGCTGAATGGATTTATTTTTAAGATATATGACCTAAATGGAATATTGGGCTGACTGGTATACTCCTAAAAATTTTATTATATGACCATCTTATCAACTAAAAGATACAGTTTTATTTCTTAGGGAAAAAAGAGAGGAAAACATGGACCAAGGTTGGTGCTAGACACTCATGGGGCCACGCATGCCTCCATTACCACACAAAGAAATTAATAACACAATGGGCCCCACATAATATTCCTTGTGTGTGGTGATGAAGCCACTCATAGAGCAATGGACTCTGTTGTACTAACCTTACATTAGAAAGAATAACTTAAAAAATAAAAAATAAAACAGTTTCTATGGTACAGAAACATGCTATCTAGTACCAGTACTACTGAACCACTGTAGTACCATATTCACAAACAAGGGATTCTGTTATATTACTTGTCTACAGTACTCTTGTGCTATAAAACTATAACATTTACATCATAGACATTCATCATTTACACACCAACAGTGTTTCCAGTGTACTAGTAGTACTGCAATGAATGTTTCTATAATGTACAACGAAATGCTCAAAAGAAATTTCTATACTAACTTTTCTTTCTTTTCTTTGGTTTAATTCCTAGTTTTGTTCAGTCATCAGTTATCCCTTGACTTTGTTCTTTGGCAGCATCCATTGGTTTCAAGAAGTGGCTATATGAGTCGGCTCAATCTACAACCATCTCCAAACTCAAATATTAAGTATGACCTTAAGCTTGACAACTTCCCTGGAGGACCAGAAACATTTGAAATCGTTCTTATATTTTGTTATGGTCTCCCTGTAGACCTAACTCCTACCAATGTAGCTCAACTAAGATGTGCATCAGAGTTCCTAGAAATGACAGAGGAGTATGAAGATGGAAACCTCATTGCCAAGACTGAGGCTTTCCTCACATTCATGGTTTTCTCCTCTTGGAGAAACACCATTACTGTCCTCAAGTCTTGTGAGTCTCTCTCTCCTTGGGCCGAGAACCTCCAAATTGTAAGAAGGTGCAGTGATTCCATTGCCTGGAAAGTCTCCAGAGACAATTCCACAGTGGGAGAATCAATTGATGATGAGGGATGGTGGTTTACTGATGTATCAAGCCTTCGCATTGATCATTTCGTTAGGATTATAACAGCAATTAGAGCGAAAAGGGCAAAACCAGAGATTGTAGGAGCATGCATCATGCACTATGCAGAAAAACAGTTGCCTGGCATGGATATTGAATTGGAGGATCAAGAAGGAAATGGGCAGGGAAGTATGGAATTGCAACTGGGTATTTCAAATGGGAGAAGACAAGAAGGTTGTATTGGGCACAACAAAGAGCAAAGACTGGTCATAGAGAGCCTAGTGAGCATAGTCCCTCCCCAGAAAGAGGCTGTGTCATGTAAGTTTTTGTTGTGGTTGTTGAAGATGGCCATGTTGTATTCTGTAACACCTGCATTAGTGTCAGAACTGGAGAAGAGGGTGGGGATGGTGCTTGAAGAAGCAAATGCAAAAGACCTTTTGATTCCTAATCTTAAAAGAGGAGATGATGGCAAGTTCATCAAGTGAGTATTAAAACTTTTTTACCTGTTAAATAGTGCTAGTATAAACAACTACAACTTTAAAGTCGCAGCAGTAGGTGAGAGAAGGGAAGCTCCTAATATCAATATTAACTATCATCCTCTTTCTGCTTATACATGACACTTGGCACTAAGGGATGCAACTTGGGCAGATTGAATATTTGTTAAATTTTGAATGGGGCCCAACCAGAGGCCCAGGGCTTTGTGGTTGAAATTCTTCAAATGGTTACGGCTAGAACCCTTAAGAACTAATAGCCAGGCCAAGCTAAGAGAAGGGATGTTACAATATCTATGAATCCTAACTCTAGCCTCTTTGACCTGAAACATAGAATTTTTCAACAACTCCATAGTTAGAATGGCTTAGATCATAGTCAAATCCAATCAACAGAAATACATTTATGCATCAAATAACTAATTTGTTTCTTCATCCTTTCTTACTCCCATGCATTTCCTATCAACATCTGAAGTTCTTCATCCGGAGAATGCACCATGTACAATGTTGATGCAATTCAGAGGATTGTAGAGTACTTCCTGATGCATGAACAACAACAGCAAGAACAACAAACTTGTGAGAAGTTAGTTGTCGGAAAGCTATTAGACAGTTATTTAGCAGAGATTGCAAGAGATCCAAATCTCTCCATTGCCAAGTTCCAATTTCTTGCTGAATCCATGCCCACAAATACTCGAACATGTGATGATGGCCTTTATAGAGCCATTGACACCTATCTCAAGGTAATCTGTCTTCACAATCTCACATTACCTCTTTTGTTACAATTAAATGTAAGCTTTACTCAAAAAGCACAATTTCTAAGTAGACATATGCTATGCAACTTACATGTACTACACTCGATTCTATTGCAGAAAAGTAGTTGTTATAGTCTAAAAATATAATGTAGTGTATGTTTATTTATTGGGTAATTAAGTGTATAGAACATTTAATTCAGAATGGGAGTTGGACTAGAAAATGTCCCTGGTGTAGGGGCCATTGCTTGATGCTATGGTAAAATCCCAGGCTGACAGAAAGCTAGGTCTACATCCAGAATGACCACCATGTAAAATAAATACCCAAAAGTTAGGTCTACATCCAGTCTATACATCCCAAGACCTGTATAGCTGAGACCAGAGTAATGGTCCTTTATCAACATCTCTCATTTCTGCCATATATTGAATTTCACTAATTCTTGTAGTTCTTCTCAGACTCATCCTTCACTAGCAGAACACGACCGGCGGAGGTTGTGCAAATTGATGAACTGTGAGAAGCTATCACTTGATGCCTGCATGCATGCTGCACAAAATGATCGGTTGCCACTGAGAACTGTTCTCCAGGTAAAATTCTTTTAGTAAGTCTGGGTTCAGTATCCTTCAATAACCATTACAGCATCTACTTTACATATAACCACCATCCAGGGGGCAAAAAAATTGAGAAATCTTCACTTTATCCCAAAACCCCCACCTATGATACAGTACCAACCCCCTTGTATTGTGTCAGCTTCCCCCACCTGTCACTATTCCCAACTGTACAAACAGATAAATAAAATTTGTGAGGTGGGAGAATCTGAAAATTCGCCAATAAAGTTTATACTGCTTCACATTAGACATGTGCCCATCTAAGAGCAGTTACTAACCATTAAATTTCAGAGCATATCAATGGGAACCTTTCAATCTAACACCTCCTAAATATGCTTGGCTACCCATGCAATCACCAAGAAATCAATTAATTTATGAATTAGGTACAGAGTTTCATCTAGAGCTGTTTCAAAGGAATAAAAGTAGAAACGAGTGTTATTTCTATAAAATCATCACATAGAACTTAGGGGCACCTAAGTATTGTCCAATTTAAAGTAATTCTTGGTAATGTTTTTTATTTTATTTTTTATTTTACTTTTTGTTGCTTCATGGGGCTACACAATGGGGTAGCCCATCCCCCATCCCCTTAAACCCCCAACCCTGGTGGCAGCGGGATTTGATCCCAGGTCTCTGTCACAACAAGTACAGAGATCCTACCAACAGAGCCACCATCAGTTGGTTTAATTCTTGGTAATGCTAATATAATTGATCCAGTACCACTAAACTCTTTCAGTAAACAGGTAGGAAAATGTCCTAGAGACTACATCATTAAGAGAGAGACCCAAAGAAAACTAAATAATCATGGTTGTCAAGGTTTTACCTAGGTTCTAAGACATTTTTATGGGTTTATTTAATGCCTCACCTGGGATACATGGGAGCATACCAAGTTCAGGTAATATTTTGTAATGGTAAAAGAGGTAAAATGGTATTATAAAAACACCTGCTTTCAATTCAAAGATCCATGAAATTGTTTCTTTTTTAATGTTTCACTATTAAAACTGACCAAAATAGAGCATTATCCCCCCCCCCTAAATGAGAAAACAGAGGTTTTATCTTTTTTTTTTTAAGAAAAGTTAACAATTTCATTAAAAACAAAGCACAGGGTACATGAGGAGATGTACAACTGCAACAAAGCCCCGCCAATAGAATTACAAGGGTAACATGCAGTCAATAAACAAGGAATCCCTATGGATCCCAGGTTTTGCTAGACCATCGGCCACAGAGCTTAGTTCCCTAGGGATCCATCTAATCCTTAGTCATCTGAGCCATAATATCTCTAGCTTCATCCAGGTAATATATTAGACACCAGGGCCACTGTCCTCCCCTAGCCATTTTATGGTGTTTGCAGAATCTCCTTCAATGGTTAAGTCCCAAATTCTTGGCAATTCTGAGACCTGTTAAGGCAGCCACAATCTCAGCTTTTGTAGAGTCTGCAACCGCTAATGGGCCACTGAAAGCCCACCGGATATTTCCATCTTCCTCCCTGATCATACCTCCAATCCCAGCTCTCCCCGGGTTGCCTACTGCACTTCCATCGAAGTTTAATCTTATTCCCACCTCCTCCGTCCCTGGTGAAGCCTGAACAGCAGCTGGATTCCAGGGAGAGGAGCAAAATGCCCACCAAATTCCTTTGTAAGTCTGAAAATTCTTCTCTTGTTTTCAAATTCCCAGTTTAATCTTATGTAGGATATGAGATCTTTGATGGTTCTTTTCTTGTCTTCTGTTTCTTTAATGGTTCTTTTCACACTCCCCAAAGCACTGCATGGATGTGTGCACCAATAGGCTTTCCCTCTTTGGCCCAAACCCCTACCATGCCATTGCCTAAGAAGCATATTAGGGAGTGGCCCAACTGTAACCGACCATGTGCAGAAAGTGATTCCATATTTTCCTCGTCTCAGCACCATGAATAAAGAGGTGCTCAATAGATTCTTTGTCACTGAGGCACAAGATACAGACATGTGGGGAGATGCATGTCTACCCCTGTTCTTCCTCTGGAGTATATCACAAGTGCTTATTCTCCCAAGGTAGGCCTCCCACACAAAGGAGGAAACTCTCAAAGGAGCTAGGTTGTTCCAAATCCTCTTACAGAGGAACGACATGTTTTGTTCACCTAAAGCGAGAGCTTTGAAGGTCTTGGTTGAGAACTTTCCAGCTGCGTGAAGGGTCCAAATAAAGTTGTCTAAGAGAAGTAAACCTCTTGAAGAGAATGGAGAAGATTAGTGACTTCAGCCATCTCCATATCCCTTGGGGGTTTGTCTGAGACTAAGGTTCCAACTAATCTAGGAGGGGAACAGGGATAAGAGCAAGCAGCAATGGTAGCTCCTTTAGCTTGGGTGAGACGAAACAATCGGGGGTAAGATTCAGCTAAGGTTTGATTCCCCCAACAGAGGTCAGTCCAAAGCTTAATTTTGTTTCCATCCCCCACCCAATATCTAATAAAGGAGATAAATTTATTTATCAAAAAAATAAATAAAGGAGATAAATTTAGTGTAGCAAGAGGAGATACCTTTCCATGGGTTTGCTGCATTCTCCCAAATCAAGTGAACTTTTTTTATCAATAACTGAACCAATTATTGGACTGCAAAAGAGCATTATGAAAGGAAGCACAAGTAAAAACCCCATTAAGGGTACAAGACCAAACTCTAGTGTCCTGTCCTCCATTGACTGATCAAGGAAAGTTAGGTGGAGTTTACCCTGTAGTTGGATGAGTGCCTCACACTCGTTGTCCCTCAAACCCCTTTAAAATCAAAATCCTAGTTAATCCCTGAAGGGAAAAAAAAAATAGCAAATCTCAATACATGTTGTTGTCTATAGTCAGACATTGAGTAGAGGTTAGGAAAAGCAAACTGAAGAGGGGTTTCAGCCAGCCAAAGGTCTTCCCAAAACAATACCCAGGTCCCACTCTCACATCATATCTAATAAAATTGATAAAAATTGAGTATACCACCTGTATTGAAGTTAATAAAGAGGCAACTTTTGCATCCCATCCGTTATTCAGTGTCCCATGAATGCTTGCAATTACCTTATTCCAATTTCCAAAGTCTGTCATTTTCCAACAAAAACCTAACCTCCATAACCATTTCCCTAACAATGTTGTATTTCTAGAGATTAGGTTCTGTATTCCAAGTTCACCCTGCTCCTTGAGTTTACTAACTTGCTCCCACTTCACTTAGATGATCCCTCTTCTCATCCCCTAGTTCCCAAAGGAAGTCTCTCATGATCTTCTCTAATTGACTCACAGCTCTAGCTTGAATTCTAAAGGTGGAAAGGTAGTAAATAGGTAAATTAGCTAATGCTGCCATGATTAAGGTTATTCCTCCACCCATTGAAATATAGTTTATTTTCCAGAGTGCTAGTCTTTTAGTGAATCTCTCTAATACCGGCTTCCAAAAGACTTTTGACCTCAGGTTTCCCCCTAACGGGAGACCATGATAATCCAATGGCAAATTCCTTACCCCACACCTTAAAGTCTCTGCCAATATTCTTAATTCTTCCTCCTCCATATTAATCCCTACTACACAACTCTTCCCCAAGTTCACTCTCAGATTAGAAACCAACTCGAAAGAAACAATGGTTTCCTTTAAACTCCTCAAGCCCTCTAAGTTGCCATCTTCACAAAACATGATTATATCATCTGCAAATGGCAAGTGAGTGACTATCACCTCATTTCTACCTACCTAGTCAACCTTAATAATCATCCTGCTTAAAACATCTGCTACTAAAGTGAAGAGGAAAGGGGATAAGGGATCTTCTTGTCTCAATCCTCATTTGGTTGGAAAGAAATCTCTAGGCTCTAGCCACTCCATTTATTAGAATTGAATAATGCACTGAATTTAAGAAGCCTCTAATCCATTTTCTCCACCTTTCACCTACCCTAATCTTCTCTAACATTATTCATCAAAAATCTTCTCTAACATTTTAAGGATGAAAGACCAATCAACAAGATCGTATGCCTTCTCTAAATCCAGTTTGCAAATTAAGCCTTTTTCTTCCTTTCTCCTCTTCTCTACTACACACTCATTTGCCACCAAGATTTGATCAATGATCTGCCTCCCTTCAACAAAAGCTCCTTGGAATTGTGAGATGGCAACACTCTTTTAAATCTTCCAGCCAATACCTTTGTAAAATCTTATAGAGGCTAATCACTAGGCTTATGGTCTAAAATCCCTAGGTATCTTGGCTACCCTCTTTTTGGGGATCAAAGCAATAAAGGTTGAATTTGCTCCTCGAGAGATTTCCCCTTCATGATAGAACTCATTAAAACACTTCCATTAGGTCAAATTTTATGACTTCCCAACAATCTTGATAAATAGACATGGAGAAACCATTCGATCCCAGGGCTTTAGATCTCTCCATCGAAAATACTACCTCTTTGAGCTCCATACCCCTGAGGTTAGCAAAGAAAACCTTGAAATGGTCCACAAAGAACTATGATTATCTCCTCCCTTGTTATCTATTGACCATCCACTTCTAAGCTAGTTATTAGGTTCTTCCTCCTTCCACTAGCTAGAGAGTGGAAAAACTTGGTGTTGTTGTCTCCCTCTATTAACCATTTACATCTAGATTTTTGCCTCCAAAAAATTTCATCAACAACTCTTCCAGCTCAAGCTTTAGATTCCTCTCTTTCCTCCCCACTGATTTCTCTAGTAGTTTCCTTGTTGTCCAACTCCACAATCCTTAAAGAAATATTCTTCTTTGTTTCCTCCACTCTCCTGAACTCATTTATGTTCCAAGTCTTGATTTTCTCTTTCAGCTTTTTTAGGCATCTATAGAATCTTAACTTAATTTCTCCCCCACTAAATCTTAACCTCCACAAAGATGGGATCTTCTAGCCACAAGTTTTCAAATCTAAAAGGTAAGGGGCCTCCATAGAAAAGATCCTAAGATACGCTAATGGGACAGTGATTTGAGATTACTTTGGGCAAAGCTCTAGAGGCTAAATTCTCCCACATCTCTTCCCAATCTAAAGAAAATAGGAATTTATCTAGTTTAGAGCAAGTCGGGGACTCCTGAAAGTTTGACTAGGTGTACTCTGCTTGTAATAGTGGGAGCGTCTTCAACTCAAAGGTATCCACAAACACATTGAAATTTTTCATGCTTGTGGTGATTCTTTGGTTAGGTCCATTGGTTTCTAAGGTAAACCTTATGACATTAAAATCACCTCCCAAACACCAAGGCCCCTCCCACAAACCTCTAACTACTCCTAACTCTTCCCAAAAAAAGATCCTTGTCTCTATAGGAATTTGGACCATAAACATTTGTTAGAGCCCACACCCTTCCATCATTGGACCTTCTGATTTTTATTGAAACTGGAAATTGCCCCACCAGTTCTTCCAAACATTCCAACTCCTCATTTTTTCCATATAGTCAGTATTCCTCCTAAAGCTCACAAGGAAGGTGCATACAACCAACCCAAACCCCTAATTCCCCAAATACTCCTAATCCATCTCCTATCAATCTCTAGGAGTTTTGTTTCTTGAATCAAGACCAAGTCCGGTTTCTCCAATCTAAGAGTATCTCTTATTAATCTCCCCTTGGTGGCACTCCCTGATCCCCTTGCATTCCAGCTAATTAGCTTCATTTTTTTTTTATAAATGATTAATACTTTATTGATATCAAGGGCTTAAATCAGTACAAGCATCCCTTTGAGAGGCGCGAGTTGAGACCTCCCCAAATTTAGAACAAAAGAAACAGATTAAAAGTAAATTACAGCTGAGCCCAATATAAAGTATCCATGTCTGTCCCTTGTTTAGCAAGATAATCAGCCAAAGAATTTGCTCATCTTCTGACCCAGTGTACTCTTACATTCATGTCCCTTGTATACCATTTGAATTTCTTGATTTCATTTCTATAGTACCAAGGAACAGAATCCGGGTTTTGTAGCCAGCCCACCACCAACTTGGAACCTCCTTCTATTATCAAACTTACTAGGCTAATTTGGTGAGCAATCCGAATTCCTTGTAGTGCAGCAAGCAGTTCCGCCCTAACAGAATCTCCTTCCCCCACCAGTCCCAAGAAAAGGACCAAGATGTTCCCATCCTTGTAATGCAGCTAATTAACTTCATTCTTGAATAAGATTTTACCTGGACCCTTTTTCTTTCGCTCAATGTCCCTCTCCTCTTCTTTCTTTTCTCATGTTTTCTTCCCTATCATATACTATCTCACTCATCAAATTCTCCACTTCACACTTCTTTTTCCTAGCCTTCCCCGAGCACTTATCCTTCCTTGAGTACCCCTTTACCCTCCTCAAGCTTTTTTTATCAGTTACCCCCCTCAAGCTTTCAGCAACAGACTTCCTCTTTTTCTTACCAAACAAACTTTCGAAATGGAAGGCAGGTTATCATTCTCCAAGACACTATCTCTGTTTCTGTTTAAGTTTTCAGTTCCTGCCCCTTCTGGTTCATGCCTATCACTATCTAAGTTTTCAGATCTCTCAATATCCTTCTCAACCTTAGACACTACTTCTGTTAAATTGTCCAGAACCATCCCAAAGATTTTCTCCACCTCATCATTTTCTCCTTCCTTTCCCGCACCTTCTGAGCAGACGGGATTGGCAGTCTCTAAATTCTTAGCAAGCATGGAACCTGGAATAATAGATGGACCTGCAAATGGAGGGGAGGAAACACAAGGGTAAGTCAATCAGTAACATCCGCAACAAGATAAACAGAGACATGAACAGTGGAAGGAATAACTGTGGAGTTAGAATCTCTCTGTTCTATACTTTCGCTAGCTCTCCCTTTACCAGGCATGGGTCTGTCAGACGACTTGTCAGATATTCCCTGTTTAGTTTCCTGTGGTCTTTGCTCTTGCCTTCTATCCCAAATTGCTTGTCCTATGTCCTGTCCTGGTTTGGTAGGTCTGCGTCTTCTTTTTCTGGCACAGTCGAGATCTCCTCACATTTAGTAGGAAACTCTTCAGTCAAGTGATTTTACTTGCACTGTTTTATATTATATTTTTCTCCCTACCTGTGATCAAAACAGGGGTCAACAAAAACACATGCATACATTCTCATAGTATCTTATCCCTTTTGAATTAAATTAACAGAGGCTTTACCCCCTTATCTTTTATAATAGGCCATGTAGAGTTGCTTTCATCCTACTCGTATTGTTTAATTCTTTCATTTAACATCACTTTTGATATTTAATACTTGCTACTTGAACAGGGGGAGCATGCTAACTCATAAAAAAAACAAAAAAAAAAATTAACTAGGAAAACAAGCTAAAAGTAGTGTGGTTTTTCTTTTAGGCAAGTAACTAGTTGCCTATGTCACAAGGTGCTACCCTGTTGTCTAGCCTCACCTTAGCAGCTTGAAAACCGCATAGTCATAGCCAGCTTTCTTTTCCCTTTTCTTTTTGATTGTCAACAGGAAAAGATAACTAATTTTTTTTTATAATTGATAACTAACTAAATTAATTAGCTATAATCCCTGGCTGCAGAACAGCAGCCTATTGGTGTTATGTTTCTTCCAAGAGATGATAAAGAAATGATTTTTGGGGGTATCTGCTCAAGGTTTTATTAAGTTGTTATGTAACCTTGATTCAATTCATTGTCAAAGCAACCAAAACAAGTACTTGATTTTGATTTGAAAGGTCAAAATTTCCTGTCCAGTCCATTCCATATATTGCCAAAGATTTTAGATGTTAATTCATCTACAAATCATTGAATTTGACTACAGAAGAAACTAAACAAATAAATTAGTTCTTCAGTTTAAAATCAAAAAATTTGAGAAGTGTTAGATCTAGGGTTTATTTTCTAGTTTGAAAAGTTGCCTATGAAGTTTTCATTTCATCCAAACCCCTTTTTGTGGTATTACGTACTACACATTACAGGGGAACCAGATTCAGGGGTGTGGCAGAACAGGGTGCACACGAGGTCCACTGGTCATACCATGGAGAGCCTGCCTTTGCACAGGTTTGACCCTGTGCCTCGTATTTGGACAGGGTGACATGTGGCCATCTTAACTACTGGGTCATCAGCCACCCAAACCCCTCAAGTAATGATATCAGCACCGCACTCCATACCTGATTTGTACCCACAGTATCAAACATGCATTAGTCTCACTTGAACGGAACTACCAAGAAATATGGATTTCCCATAATAAACCTAGCTTAATTTAAGGGACACAATGTTGGTCCCGGATATCTGTGGTTTTGGGAGAGGTGGACTAGATATCCTAGCTTAATCTCTGACCCTTATACCCTGAAATGCATAGTGACAAAGAACTGCCATTTGATGGATACAACCTGGACCTAAACCTGCCTGATCAGATGGCAACAATCACTAACTTTGTTTTCATATAATGAAACAGAAAATTATATTTAATATGAAAATGAATAATTTCTTAATTTCAATGGTCTTTGGATTATCTCAAAGGGAGAGAGAAAAGAAAAAAACTGAATAGTTAAGAAATATATGGGTCTCACAGGATTTGAATTGAGAGGACTATAGCATGAAAGAAGGTCAAATCCAAGATCCACTCCATCCCATATCTAGCATGTTCAGAACTTCAGATCAAAACAAGGAACTCATATTTTAAAAATAGCCCAGATGTGTCTTAATAAAGTTTGTCTGGATATAGATCATAGCATACCTGAGGTTTCCTTTGGGATCCAATCTGAAATGCAATAATGCAATACGAGACCAGCTGGGCTCACTCTTCGTGATCTGGACTAGGATCCCAATCCAATTTTCAAAGGCAGCTACAGACCTGGGGATTATCAACTTTTATATCCAACTCATTTCATACCTAGAGATTACCAACTCTCCTTCCAGTGGACTAAAAGATCATAAGGAATGTCATTTTCCTACTGTAACTACTAGATTTTCTGGAAAGCATTTTCATAGGGCCATTTACATGCAACCAAACGCTGTGAAAAACACTCTTCAAGGTTCAATTAGTTGCTTCACATCATTTTATATGCAATCAAATTGACACCAAATATATATCATATTTTCTTTCCACACTTAAATGCCTTTGCTGCCCAAAAGAACTGTTGAGTTGTGGTAGGTCAAATGGTTAAAGCAATTGTTGGGTCTTAGTCATTAGTGGCAAGGTAAGGCACTGTGTAGAAGTTTAGTATTACCTCCCTTCAAAAAGACCAAAAAAAAGTAAACAGTGAAGTGTACAATTACCATTCTTGGAGAATCCAAGCCCATAGATAGGGAAACATTTTTTATAGGTAACTGAAACTTTATTGAATTAAATAAAAATGAAATTTATACAAGAATTGAAGCCCTTTTATAGGCTGGAAACTTTCCACCTATCCCTTTTCTTTGATAGGCATTATTACATTTCAGCCCAAAATCATTGTGGTTGCTGTCTATTATCCCCCCAACTTTGCCAACATATCTGCCATGCCATTTTCTAACCTTTTGACCACTGATAATAGACTTCCCTTCCCCTCATCAATCACTTAATCTCCTTGATGGAGAAACTATGATCCTACAGAAATTGCTTCTCCAATTATTCCAAGTATTACCTCATAAGCCTCTCTCTTTAAGAACTCTTAAATGCCAAAGGAAGTCTTAATTTATCTAAAATATGATTACATATGGCCACAATGGACTCGGGACACATTACCCTTTTTTATTAGTCACATTACAAGTTTTTTAGCTAAGAATGAGATGCAACTCACAGGTTCTGTTCTCAGAGCAAGCAAAGATGAGGGCAGCAATCGAAGAAAAGGAACCAAAACCAAACATGGGAATCCCTGAACAGGAGAGTTGGTCATCTACCAAGGAGATGAGATCCATGAAAGAAGAGCTACACAAAGTAAAGACAATGATGGCAGAACTGCAGAGAGACTACTCTGAACTACAGCAGGAATTTGAGAAGCTAAATATAAAGCAAAGAAGTCTTTCTAGGTGGAGTTCAAAGTGGAAAAAGCTCAAGAGTTCAACTTTCTTCAATGAAAAAATGGACGGTGAGGAAACTGGCGAAACACAGGAGAGTCAAAACCCAGTTGGTTGCAGAGTCAACTGCCGAAGGAGGCTCTCCATGTCCTAAGAGCTTTCAACAACATCCATGTACTGTAAATACCGAGACAGCTTAAGCACTAGACCATGTCATTATCTGCAGTCTTTCTCTAATCATGCCTAGCATCTTCACATCTTGCCTTGGAGAAAGTCCATCAGTCATGTTTTTGAATTCATTTTGCTTTAGAGTAAAACAGTCAAGTGTTCTGAGTAATTGAGTACAACTAAAAGGTGATTAGGAAAATAATTAGTTTGAGATGAATTACACATATGGGTGTCTGAAGGAAGCACTTCAACCATAAGATAAATGAGTTTACATATTTATGTGCAACTTCACCATTGTTTGGTGGGATTTCAATCCTTGAAGTGCTGATTCTATCAACCTTTTATAGAACCTAGATTATTGAGTACCTATGTTGTCCAGATACGGTGAGGACTCAGTCTTTCCTACTTTTTATCCTACAAGATTTCTCAGATCTGCAACAATCCCAGTACCACCTATTTTCTGCTTCATTTCATTGTCTTGGATCTAGCTATCAGACATTTAATCAAATAAGATATCTCAATATTTTCCCTTCTATTTAGTTCTTTGACCATTTTATTGCTGATTCAGCAGAGATACACCTTACATTCTTCATCCTACTTCTTTGTGTTTTAATTATCTAAAGTCCCTTTTAAAATTTTCAGGTTATATTAATTGTTTGTTCTCCCTCTTGTTTTTCATGCTTCATCAATCTTCCAAATCCAATTAAGTGCTGTCAATCTTGTCTATAAACTTTCAGACATAAATCAAATAGGTTGGAGAGTCAGAATAAATGATGAATCTCTTCATTACATTATGTTCTTAAACAAGTCATAATTCTTGTTAAACACACTTGAATTGACCACGATACTATCAATATATGGGGGCAGCAATCCAAGGAACCAATGTCAAATAATGGCAGTGTTTTAAAAGCGCAAGGGGCAAAAAAGGCACAGGGGTCAATTTGCGCCTGAGGCACAAGGCGAGGCACGCGCCTTTTTAAAGCAACTCGCATATAAAACATTTTTTAAAAAAAATGTTTTAAAAAACCTATTATGTAAAATTAAATAACATGTAAAGCATATTCAAATGTGAATTTAAAAAAAAAAATCAAACATATAAAACATTTTTAAGCATGTAAAACCCACAATCTCATTTTTTCCTCAATTGCATTACTTAAAGTAGCTAATGTGATGTAAAACATATTACATTCCTAATTCTACGAGCCGCCTTTATGCCACGCCCCTCGAGGCAAGCCTAAACAAGTACATGTTAGGGTCTTAAATTCTTAGTTCTCACACAAAAAATAATGATTTTATAATTTTAATTGTTTTTTAAGAAGATATTTTAGTAGGATGAATGAATGAACAACATTACCAAACAGGGGGTTCTCCAAATCCAGAAAAGTAGATCCAGACCTTGAAAAAACTAAGCAAAGAGATGAAAAGTGAAGACAGCAAAGCTGCAGATAGACTAAGTTGAGTTGTGCTAGGAATTCAGTAAACTCAAGAAAAAGAATGTATTTTCAGAGTAATAAGGATTCAAGAACTCCACTCTTTTGGCATTGGAAACTTAATGGTGAGGGAACTAGAGAACTGCTGACAAGTGCTAAGACTGCTGCCAAAGAAGGTTCTCCATCTCCTTCAAGATCTCAATAACAGCTATATTCTATGAAAACAAAAATTAGAAAAACCTTAGACCATAAAACCCTCGGCAATATTTCTCCAACCTTGTCTGGGATACTTTTACAGTTTTTCTCATGCAAAGGTTAAAGAAATATTGCTGCTGCCATTGACTTCACATTCATAGAACCACTTTTGTTTAAGTGGCTTTGTCTCAACCATGTGATGACTTTCTGATGCCACCATTGCCATTTCCCAAGAGGTTGTGTTGGAAGGTGTCCTACTCAGATTTTTCTTTTCAGAATTATACCCAGAATATCAATTCACCATATAAGTTGTTCTTTCACACCAATGTGAGACAATTTTGCATTACATTGACAGAAAAAGGTTCATCTCAACTCAACCTTAATCCTTGACAAAAATTGGCTCAGTTTGAAAAATTACACCGTTTACGAAAATACTCAAAATGTTCTAGAAGTATCAAATACACAAGGGTAAATTACAGATAGGTACCCTCTACTTTGGGGATAGTAACACTTAGGGCCTGAGCTTTCAAGTATAACACTTAAGTACCCTGAACTTTCTGAAATATACACTCAAGTCTAGCACCGTTAACAAACGTTAATGTGGGTGGTAAAATTACCAAACTATCTACCAATTTATTTAAGATCAATGCCACAACTTTGAAAAAAAAAATAGATTAGAGAGACAACTTAGGAGGGCATAATGATTGTACTGAGACCAAAAACACAGCTCTAAAATTTAATAATCTCTAAAAACTCTGAACTTTGGAGTTGAGGCTGCATTCATTATTTGTTTGCTTCTTTTTAATTTACATTAGTTTCACACAAGTCTCTCATTTCTCATGCTACTGTTTATAGAAATAGAGACAGAGAGAAAGAGAGAGTCAAGGCTTCATTGTTTGTTGCTAGAAAAAGGGGGCAGAACTGCACAACCATTATGCTCAGTTGCAGCCATAGCTAGGAACTTCATGGGTGAGGTGGTAGATTACAAGTCTTACCACTTAGGTTCTTCGACAATCAACATGGCGGAAGCTTGGGCCACATGGGAGGCCCACAACTTGGCAGTGAATTTCCCAAACCATTCCATCATCATTGAAGGCGACTCTTTGATCGTGATTTTTGTCTGAAGCGGCTCATCGACCCCCCCTAGAATCTACAGAACATCATTGAAGAATGTTTGGATTTGAAGAATCGAGCAAATGAAGATTTGGTCTACAATCACGTGTATCRGGAAGCTAATCAAGCGGCAGACTGGCTCGCCAATCAAGCCTTTTCTTCCCAACAGGGTATAGTAAGTCTCAATCTTAGAGATCTTCCTTGGAATTTAGCTTGTATTTGTAAGTCTGATGTGTGGGGATGTGCTACCCCCCATCTTGTGTAGCCCCTCTCGGTTTCTATCAAAAAAAAAATTATGCCCAGTTCATTCAGCATTGAGAAAGAAAATGAAGGTTGATGCATAGACCGCAGTGTTGCTTCAACACGTAGTTTATTCAGATCTAAGAATGAAAATGGGAAAGGAAAGGCAGTTTTGGGATTTTAAAATGTTTAGTGCAAGATAACTGACAAAATGCTAACAGTTAAGACTTGAGTGTATATTTTGAAAAGTTCAGGGTACTGAAGTGTCACATTTGAAAGTTCAAGCCCTTAAAATGTCACTACCCCCAAAGTACAAGGTACCTATCTGTAATTTACCCAATACATAAATACAAAGCAAACCAGGACATAGTGACATGCAAAGAAAAAGCTACAAAGAGATTTCAGATTGCACTGATAAGAGTACACAAGTTTTAAAGTTACAGCAATGTAGTGACCCATATTACACCAGATTACAATGTAGCCCAAAATAAAGTAGGTCTGTCTGCTCCTTGTTTGGCTAGGACATCAGCAAGTCCATTTGCTTCCCTCTTTACCAACCAAAACTAGTATTAATCCTCCTTGCAAGTTGGTCTATTTCTCTGAAGACAAATCTGAGCTTCCAAGGTACTGAACTGATTTGCTTTGCCCAAGATATGACCAGTAGTGAATCTCCTTCAATTTCCAGTTCTATTGTTCCATTGCAATCTTTAGTACTCAAATTCCATATAAGAACATGAATTGTCGAGGCACTGGATGAACTGGTCCACAAAAAGGGGGGTGAATATCTAAAAAAACCTTGCTTAAATGATCATGAACTCTATTTTGAATTAGTTTATAATGCCAAACACTTCCAAAAAAATAATAAAATTTGAGCTTGGGAAACAAGAAAGTTGCCTCTATGATTGCCATAACAATATTTAGGTGGTGTCTATCTCTCCTTACCAGGTTTGACAACACTTCGTCAGTCTTTTTTTGGAAAACAAACCAATGTATTTGTGTTCATAACAATGTTTCCTGTGCTATGCTTTTTTTATTTCTTTTTGAAGGCTACACAATGGGGTGTAGCCCATCCCCCAACCCAGGTGCAGGCGGGATTTGATCCCAAGTCTCTGCTACGACCAGCAGGAGACCTTACCAACCAGTTGGTTGGCACCTTGCTTCCTGTGTTATGCTTTTTCAACAACAAGAAATAAAATTTTAATGAAAAAATAAAAATGAGAGAAATAAAGTTCAAACCCTGGGGATGCAATAGAAATGGTGCAGCATAGACCCAAGTGAAGACCTCCAAAAGAGGGATACAAAATGAAAAACCCTGCATAACCCTTACCACTCTGGAAAGAATATGAGCTCAGCTTTAGTGTTAGCTAATCACAGAAGGAATACAGAAATCTATTCTGATATTGAAGAAATCTCTTCAACCTGTCGTTGAGCCAGCCAGTCTGTCAGACCAGCTGACCCATGACCTAGTCAGGTTTCTGGGCCCATTTATTATCACCTGAACTGTTTACCTACAAAAAAAAAAAAAAAACATTGACTCAGTCAACAACCTGACAATCCATCTGAAACCATCAATGGGTCACAGGTTAGACATTAGATCTTTTTCTGCTTTTTATACATTTTTAGCCATTTCCATCATTATTCATTTCTGGGTCATTCTTTAAAACATTTTGTTGGAGACCTTGCCTCTCCAAACAAATGGTTATTAAACCCTTGAAGACCTGTAAATTAGGCCCTCATTTATCCTAACACGAAATAATAATCTGGAACTCATACACCAAAGAAAAAGATAGCTTTAACCCTTCAAGCAGGGGGAATGGAGTTCATCCTTCACAGAATCACCAAACCCAAAAGGATTTTTCTATGCTATGCTTTTCTATGCTTTCAAAGATTAGATTTTACCTTCCTGCACATTACTTGAGCATGGAAGAATATATTTATATGCTCGTGAGGTATTTATGTGGCATAGACTATCAAAACAGGATTCATGTAACCGACCCCATAAGGTTGGGATAAGGCTTGGATGATGATGATGATGCAGTATGGAAGAGATGAACAATATCCCTTATAAACTTTCACTAGTCAAATTCACAATTGGGCAACCTGTTTCAGGAATCCATTCACATGAAGAGCTATGGACAAAACCAAAATGGACAGACTACACAAAAAAGCTGCCCCTCCAAAAGTTTACTAATAACCTGGAGGTGCTATTTCCTAAGACAATGGAAGTCATCTGTTTGTAGTCCCATCCTGGTATCACTTTCAAGATGCCTCAATTTCTGCATCAGGAAGCATCAGGGGCATATTCCTGATTGCTGTCACAAGCAATATGATATTAGCAAATAAATCTTTTTTTTTTGATAAATTATTAGCAAATAAATCTATTAAATAAGAAGTTTAAACTTTACAGTTGATCATAACTAGATAAATCCAAAATGGGTTCCTAAAGAGACTCAAATCATTCATTTATGATCAAGTAATGAATTAGAGATAAGTTTCAATTTCTTTGTAAACAGGTTAATGAACAGTTTGAATTGTTGTTACATTTTTCTCTTAATGGCTATGGTTGCTCTTTGGTTTAATAGAATATACAAAGTAGGGTGGAATTTCCAATCCCAAAATTTGGAAGGTTGTTTCTGGTAAACTCAATTGAAGAATTGTGTTAATGTGTTTCTCCTCCATATTGGCAATCTCCATATAAGAACAGTGATTGTTCATTGCAATCACTGCAAAAATAATACTCTAGATCTACCATAAATAATCCAGACTCCAGGTTTTTCAAAACCCCTGGCAAATCAATTTCAATTAACTGGTTATTGGAAATAACTTAAAAGGCACCTTTTCGCTTTCAAATTTCCATGATAAACATCCATAGCATAAAGGAAGGATCTAAAAAGATATCCCGACTCAAATTAAAACAATCCATGATTTTCAATAAAAACTAAGAATCATTAACAGCATCAACCATCTCCAACAAAACTATAGATATTTCTTCTAACCCCCCCCCCCAACTCTCTTTATCACAACAATCTAAACTACAGAAATATATGAAACCATAAATGGACGAATTACCAACAGAGCTACTTCGATTTACGCATACTGCTCCAGGGGAATTTAGCAGTTCCAGCATCGCTATCACCACGACCTCCACGACCACCTCTCTCACCAGATTGCTTCTCGGGCTTAAACCTACCATCAGCCTTTCCGTCAAGCCAATGCGATTTCACCTCCCCATCCTCGACAATACTCGACTTGGACTGCTTATTGATGCTCTTCTTCTCCTCCTCAATGATGCGAATTGGGTATAGGTCAGGAGAGATCGATAATGGATTCTTCAACGTTACATAGGCCTTCTTGTAATCTGGCTTTGCAATCAAGATTCCACCCCTCTTCTTCTTCTTGCCTTCCATGTTCAGGGTTCGGACTTCTTCAACTTCAAAGCCGTATAGAGATTCAAGAACCCTCTTGATTTCAATCTATTCATCAACCCAATAAAAAAACAATTAAAAAATAAGGATTGAACATGCGAAGTGGATTATACAGAATGGAAGAAAACACACCTTTGAAGCTGAAGGGATGGTCTTGAGAGCAATCTCTTTGATGTTGGTGAAAGAAGATGGCATGAGAAGCTTAATAGGGAGATTTGCGAAGTGCACAAGTCTTCTTCCCAATCTGCTACCCATTTTCTTATCTCGTTCTTCTACAATCTTACTGCAATGATCGGATCTTCAAAAAGTTTTGATTGCTGTTTCTTTGATGCCTAAACAACAGAATCGGTTCCCATTATTCCTGCTTCACAGCAATAAACAAAGATAACGGAGAAGAGATCAGAAAGAAGGGAAGAAGAAGGGATGAACAAGAACAACAATTATACCTGAAACACCAAATCAATCCCCAGCACGATCTATGGCCTAAACCCTAAACCCCACCAACTGATGGGTGGCTCAGTTGGTACGGTTAGGGCTGTAAATGCTCAATGGGTCACGTCTACGCTCCACCCAACAGAACCAAACCGATCTAACCATTTTTTTGATATATGATCAATTATATTGGTTTTGGTTTCGACTCTTCTATAGTTTTGAAAAAAAAAAAAAGGAGAAGTCCAAAATTCTGAACTTTGCCGTAGTATCAAGTTAGTACCCGAACTTTTAAATGTGTCATACAATAGTTAAGTTTTAAAAAGTGTCAAGTTGGTTATTGGTATTAACCGATTGTCAATTATTTGTTGAAAATGTCAAAATTATCCTTCAAAAGAAAATATTGTTCATTATCTTCTACCTTAAGATTGAATTGGTTATCTTCAAAGGAAAAAAGAGAAAAATATGAAATATAATAAAATGAAACAATAAATGAAAGCAAAGAAATAACTAAACAATAATGTGTTTTAGATCTAAAGGTAAAAGAACAATGACTTCATTAGTCTAGAATCTCAAATAAATTCTTGTTTAATCGATTATGCTGGTAAAATTGTTTTAAAAGGACCTCCTAAAACAGTTATGCTGGTAGAATCTCAAACGGCTTACCCCGTCATTTGGCCTAGGACCTCCTAAAATTTCTACCCCTGAAATTTCAACCCAAGATTTCCCTCCATTTATTCTTTTATGGAACCAAGATTCCCTTTTGAACCTTCTCATTAGCCTGAAGCACCCAACCCAAATCTCCTTGATCCTAGCACTTCTGGATCAATTAGACCATAAAATTGAACCCTAGACACACCAAAAAATCTACCCATAAATTTTCAAATTAAAATCCCCCCATTTGCCCCATCATCAAACAAATATTCCATTTTGGATGCTCTCATTGGCTTAAATTTCCGTGATTTAAGAGGGTTTAATGCAAAAAGGCTAACCAAATTATTAGTTTATTTTGGATAAATAAAGTGAGATTTTTCTTATTATTCTAAATGTATTGTCCCAAGTTTGTTATTTTTCTCATTTATTTTACTAATGGATCTTTTTTGTTTTAATAATAATTATCATCATCATCATCATCATCATAAATCAAATCAACTAAGTTGTTTCAGTTCATTTAAATTGGTTTTTCTACATGAAATGTAAAATGTTTATAATTGTTAGTTGATTACTTGCTATTTTATTTAATGCTTATAAACTTTTAGTTTATGGATGTGTACTTTCTATTATTTTAATTTGCATATTATATGTTATTTTCATCATCAATTTATAAACTTTAATTAAATTTTTCCTCAAACTTTGAGGCTTACACATTGCAATGCCTTAAAGCTTATGCCTCACCTTTTTGGGCTATTATGCCTCAACTATGCCTTTTTAACCTTTTAAAACCTTGGATGAGAAATAATTAAAGGAGGTAATGAGAAAGAAGAGAGAGTTAATGGTGAGTTAATGAGGAGAGATAAAGTCATAAAGGTGATTGGCCACTTTAGTTATTTTTGTTAATTTTCAATTAAAATTAGAAAAAAATAAATAACTTTTAAAAACAATCAAAACAATAAAATAAATATAAGTGCCTTTTAAAGCAAAAGGGATTTTTAAACGAAATGTAGAGAGAGAGAGTGAGGAAACTGAAAAAGATGATACTTGAAAACATATGACAAGACAAACGACTTTTTAGTCTTTTAATTATTCTTTTTAATCCTTTATTATTTTTTTTAATCCTTTCTATTTACTTTTTAATCCATTTTGAATTACTTATTTACTTCAATCCTTCATTTAATTATTTTTTAAATGCAAAAACACAAATGTAATGATGGTATTTTATATTTATTACTTTTTTATTTTTAATTTATCTACTTAAAGAACATTCTATGGATTTTTTTTTAATTTTTTATAGTAACCTTTTTTGTGTGCATGTGCACGGGCACCCGTCGCTAGTTTTGTATTACCCGTCGCTAGTTTTGTATTATTTTGTATGTATTTGCATTATATATAATTTATACAAATACAAATATGTATTGTGCAAATACAATATGTATTGTTCAAATAAAAGGTATATAAAACAATATATAAGGTTTTGAATTGTACATATTTGTATTTGTGCTCTTTCCAAATTGACCCGTTGTATCAATTTGGGAAGCAGATTTTTTTTGTCTTGATTACCATCAATTTGGTACCAGTTTTGGTTGCCCCAAATTCATTTGCACCCAAACTATACATACTAGTTGGGGACCAGTGGGTTTGTTAAATGAAATTAATGAAGAAGCAGCCCTGATATATCACATTCTAACCACAATTGATAATTTGTAGCCTTTAGAGTATAATTTAACATTTATTATTTTCATGAATAAAATTCATTTTAATGATTTTATTATTTTGTATTAACTTAATTTTAACTGTATTAATATTAATATTAATACTATGCTAATTGGATTAATGTTTCATTGGTAAAATATTCTTTCTCTTTTTTTATTGTAGTTATCAACTTAGCTTAACTAAATTGATAATTTCCAAAAAAAAAAAAACAAATTGAGTTGTTAATAAATTTCTTAATAACTTCATAGCTGAATTATATTTTCAGAACATTGTCTACCCAACACATGTACCTCATAAAGTTGTACCCCGTCCATTATTGAATTAAGTTATTAATTGATAAAGTTTAGTTTAGGTAATTAAATTGTAAATTATTATTTTAGTTATTAAGGTAATAAACTAAATTAGTTTTTAAGGTTAATTAAGTTATTCTGTTTAGTTAATTAATTAAATAAGTTATTTATTTGATTAATTAATTAATAACTTAATGAGTAAATAATAGTAATATTTGAGTTACCAAACGGGCCATAGGGTCAAGTTGACCCTTGTGTTGGTCAACAATTGAGTCAAGGAAGACCCACAAACTTCATCCGTTTTGCCTATTGATGAAAAACGAATAAAAATAGCATTTTTTAGAGAGAAATACACTACAGCCCAATGCAGAATTCTGAATACATTGAAATTTTATATTTTTATTTTTCACAAATTCGAAATTTTGAAAAGATTCTGAGAGACTTTTATTTGGGTAAAATACTTAAATATATCATCAGTTTTCAAAAATTGACTTAAACATACCTTGATGTTTTGAGATAGACTTAAAGATACCTTATCGTTGACCCACTGGACTTAACATACCCTAAACTCTTAAAAGATTAAATCTCTATTTTACCCTCTCATACTCTTAAGTGTCATTCTTTGCTTGAGATATTCCTTTTCTTGTTCTTCCAATAAGAGAAGAGAAGAAGAGAATAGATGGAGACAGAAAGTTGTCGCTATTGAAATTTCATACAATTAAAATTGTAATGGTGGAGAATCATCGTTAAATCTTGGAGCCCCACTTCGTTGGGCCTAATGGCAGGGGGGCGTGTCATCAGTTTTGAGGTTGTAAAAAAGGAGCCTGTACAAGCTTCAATAGAAAGCAGCTTTAATTGTAATGGTGGAAAAGCTCCTCCGATTCATATTTGAAGACTCATTTTCTATAGAAAGATTGGTGCAAAGAAAAGAAAGAATGAGATGGAATTAATGGGAAAGGATGTCGAGTTGAGAGGAGGTGCGTTCTGATATGCCTACCACCCACTAATAAATCTAATATATATATATATATATATATGATTTCAGGCCTAAGCCCCCAATAGTTAGACATGTTGCTCATTTACATTCAGACACCTGTCATTCCAAAGATTTAAACATAATGGACATGTATCAAATTTTGATTAGTGGTAGTTCAAGAATAGAGGCACTAGACATGTGTCAAATTCTGATTAGTGATAGTTTATGAAAAGAACCCACTAACATAAAGAGTGGAGCCTACTACCATGCAGAGTTGTGAGAAGTGAGAAGCTTCCGCTTTCAATCTTTTCCTAAAAAAAGAAACAGTGTTATTGATTAATGTTAACTACTAAACTAATTAATTAATTTCAGCCATTGATTACTAATAATAATTACTGTTAACTAATTTTAATTAATTAATTACAACTATTAATTAGTAATAATAATTATTGTTAATTACTAATTAATTACTATTAACTACTTATAATTAATTAATTCCAACTATTAATTACTAATAATAATTACTCACTGATAATAATGAATTACTAAAAATTATTTCTTATAATAATTACTGTTAATACTTAATTACTGATAATTTATTGCTTACAATATTGCTCATTATTAATTCAAAACGATGATTAATTAATAAATATTTTCATAATGGTAATTAATAATTTAGAAATAATAATTTTATATTTATATTAACTCATTAATTATTTTGAAAATAAATATTTAAAGTTAATTAATTATATTATAATTATTATCAGAAATTATAATTCATACATTTATATGAAATAATTAATTATATTATTATAAATAATTATAATTAATAATATTATATTAGTTAATATAATTATATTGTTATTATTATTATCAACAATTATAATTAATTATTACTACAAGTAATTATAATTAATACTATTATTATAATTATTTCTATTATTATTCTCCAATAAGTACTTCATTTAGTGAATGTTAAATTATAAAACTTTCTATTAATCAATATTGTTAAACTTAAAGAATACTAAAAGCAAATATTATTTTATGAACTAACTAAAAATCGTATTTATAACAAATTATTTACTTAATAAAAATAAAAATAAAATAATAATAATAATAATAATATTAATGATAATAATACTTTAATATTACTGATTTCAAAATCAATACATACATAATAAGAATATATTATTAGTTAATAAAAATATGCTTATTATTATTACTGATTTCATAATTATTAATATATCATTAATCTATTAATAATACTAATTATTATTAAAAATGTTAATAGAAAATTTTAATTACTTAAAATTATTTGCTGAAATTACCCATTTTAATTCGGATAGATAATTAATTAATAATTTCAATTTCTTAAAATTGTTATTTACTGAATAATTTTAAATACACTCTGTGTAACAACCTTATTTTTGAATAATTGGTTTTTTATGTTCAATAATTTTTTTTTTGCAAAAATCCAAATAATTTTTCATTTGCAATGCTAACCACTTTATTTTTCTCTTATTCAGTTTTTCAAAAGTTAAAAATAAATAAACTAATGATATTTACCTATT